AATTCTCGAAACCAGCTCTATGAAGAATGTCAACAGCAAAAGCAGATTGATTCAAATGATATCCATGATCTGTAGCTATAGCTTGAATACCGAGAAACTGATTCAGGCTACCCAGAGTCCAAACCTGAAATTGTTGATGTAGATGCTGAAGGAATTTTTGAAGAACCGAAGCATCATTACCGGTAACCAAAATATCATCTACATATACAAGGAGGTATATTAGAGATGAATTTTGATTGTAGATAAGTAGAGAGGGATCAGCTTCACTATGCTGAAACCCGTGAGCTTGTAAGTATGTTGTTAATTTGGCAAACCACTGTCTAGGAGACTGTTTAAGACCATAGATGGCCTTATGAAGACGAGACACAAACTCAGGATATTGAGGATCTTTGAAACCAATTGGTTGTTGCATATAAACCGTCTCATTTAGATCACCATGCAAGAAGGCGTTTGAAACATCGAGTTGAGTAATCTCCCACTTGTAAAGCACGGCTGCAGTAATAAACAATCTGATTGTAGGAAATTTAGCGACAGGACTGAATGTTTCAGTGTAATCAATGCCATATTCCTGACGATGACATTGTGCAACAAGTCGAGCTTTATGTCTTGCGACGGATCCATTTGAATTTCGTTTGGTTTTATAAATCCACTTACAACCCAAAATATTTTGGTCTAATGGTGAATATACCAATTCCCAAGTACCTTGAGATTGAAGAGCCTTAAATTCGGCTGACATAGCATCTCGCCAGCATTGGTGTTTAACCGCAGCTGAATAACACGTTGGATCACTGGATTGGACAAGGATGTGCTGGAGATTAAACTGATGCTTCGGTTTAAGACTTCCAGTTTGAAGTCTAGTCACCATAGGATGACGTTTAGATGGAATAGGTGGTATGGAACCGGAAACAGAAAGAGTATAAGTGGAAGAAGCAGCAGAATGATAACTGGGATTAGAGGTAGAAGTGTCTGGGGAAGGATTCGGCTGAATTGGAGTTGATAGCATGGTGGAGGGAAGATGAGATGATTTATTTGGTGAAGAAACTATAGAGATATTTGGAACAAGACTTAACGAAAAATTTACTGAAGATGGTGTTGGAGATGATGGTGAGGGTGGATTTGAAGAAATGGAAGAAGCAAAAGGAAAAACTGTTTCGTGAAACTTAACATGGCGAGAGATAATAATCTTGTGAAGTTGAAGATGGTAGCACCGATAACCTTTGTGACTAGAGCTGTAGCCAATGAAAACACAGGCAGAGGATTTTGGTGCAAATTTATGTGGTGTGGATGGGTGTAACCTGGGATAGCAGAGACACCCGAATATTTTTAAATGAGAATAAGATGGAATTTGTTTGTAAAGACGATGATAAGGAGATGTAGAAGCCGTAGTAGCGGAAGGAAGACGATTAGTCAAGTATGTAGCTGTAAGAACAGCTTCAGTCCAGAAAACAGTTGGAAGGCAAGCATTAAGAAGAAGTGTTCGAGCAGTCTCTATAATGTGACGATGCTTGCATTCAGCCAAGCCATTTTGTTCAGGGGTATAGGGGCAGCTATATTGATGCAAAATACCATTGGATGTGAGAAATTTTTGAAATTGCAAGCTTGAATACTCACCGCTGCCATCGGAACGAAAAATTTTAATTTTAGAGGAAAGTTGCTTCTCAACCATAGCATGAAACATTGCAAATTTGGAAAACGTTTCAGCTTTTGTAATCATTGGATAAACCCAAATGAAACGAGAGAATTCATCCAAAAATAAGACATAATAACGATAACCAGTTAATGATGAAATTGGGGAAGGACCCCATACATCGGAAACAACTAGTTGAAAAGGCGAAGTACATGAAGACTTAGAACTAACAAAAGGTAATCTATGACTTTTGGATATTTGACACAAATGACAAACATCTTTTACATTAGAAATATGTAACTGGGGAAGTAACGCAGATAACTTAGACACGACTGCACGATGAGGGTGTCCCAAACGAGCATGCCAGAGCTGAGATCGAGCTGTTGTAGTGAGAATCAGCTTGGAGGAGAGGAAGTTTGGTGGCGAAGAGGATGAAGATGGAACAGCAATGGAGTACAATCCTTCACGGCAAGGACCCGAAAGAAGCACTTGATTTGTTCTCCGATCCTTAATATAATAGCCATGAGGAGTAAAAGAAATTTTGCAGCCATTATCAGTAAGTAAATGATGAACTGAAAGAAGATTGTGCGAAACTTGAGGAACATGAAGAAGAGGAGAAAGGGCAAGCTTACGAGTAGGGGTAGGCAAAATGCCTTGACCCGTATGAGAAATTGGGAGAGACTGTCCATTTCCAACTTGAATGTGATGGGAGCCATGATACGGTTGCGAGGTTAGGAGCTGATTAGCATCATTGGTGAGGTGAGAAGTAGCTCCAGTGTCCAAAATCCAGTCAGGAGAAATTGAAGACGAATTCGAATTTTCAGCCAACAGAGCGGTAGAAGTATTACCACTGTAGTTTAAGTTCGTCCGATGCCAACATTTAACTGTGGAATGCCCAGGTTTACCGCAAATTTGACACTCAATCCGTGTAGACGGTGATCTGCCACCACCGCGGGACGAAGAAAATCGACGACCCCTTGAGGAACGAAACGTCGGAGTAGTGCCGCCTCGTCCTCGGGTTGCCGCCAGAGCCACCGGAGCTTCCGTAATGTGCACAGACTGAAGATCCTTAGCTGCTTCAGTCTCTAAATTTGTTTCTTCACTGCACATAAGTGAGTAGAAATCATCAAGATGAAGAGGCTGTAAACTTGTTCGGATGGCAGTCTTAAATCCTTGATAGGAAGCGGGCAATCCGTTAAGAGTATAGAGAATCACGTCCTCTGAATCTACGGAGCATCCAGCTGCAGTGAGAATATCTATTTTCATTTTAATCTCAGACAAATACTGCTGCATAGATTTAGTTCCCATGGAAACGTGATGAAGATCATTTTTGATCTGTAAGATACGGGAACGATTGGTGGACTGAAGGCGTTTGGCAATCGTTTCCCAAATCTCTGAACATGACTCCAAATTCAAGATGTAGGGCAGCAATGGCGCTGAGACAGTGGAGAAGAGGGCGGCGGCAAGATTCTGATCGATGAGCATCCAAGTAGAGAACAATGGATTTGGAAGGATTTTACCAGTAGCCGAGGTGAGTTGCCGAGGAGGACGACGAATGGATCCATCGAGATAGCCCTCAAAGCCATTGGCTCTGAATATCTTTAGAACTTGCGATCTCCACGTCAAATGATTTTCGGGAGCTAATTACACAGTAATCACATTCTTAATGCTTGACATTAAGAACTTTAGTTGAGGAGGTATAGAAGCCGTGCCGAGGAGCGGAGAGACTTCTGCGGTACTGTTAGAAGTAGAGGAATCACCGGATTCCATGTGTATAAAGGGAAGATGTAAACCAACGGAGAAGAGAAAAAAAAAACCGTAAGGCCTAGAAAGTGGAGGGAAGATGAGATGATTTATTTGGTGAAGAAACTATAGAGATATTTGGAACAAGACTTAACGGAAAATTTACTGAAGATGGTGTTGGAGATGATGGTGAGGGTGGATTTGAAGAAATGGAAGAAGCAAAAGGAAAAACTGTTTCGTGAAACTTAACATGGCGAGAGATAATAATCTTGTGAAGTTGAAGATGGTAGCACCGATAACCTTTGTGACTAGAGCTGTAGCCAATGAAAACACAGGCAGAGGATTTTGGTGCAAATTTATGTGGTGTGGATGGGTGTAACCAGGGATAGCAGAGACACCCGAATATTTTTAAATGAGAATAAGATGGAATTTGTTTGTAAAGACGATGATAAGGAGATGTAGAAGCCGTAGTAGCGTAAGGAAGACGATTAATCAAGTATGTAGCTGTAAGAACAGCTTCAGTCCAGAAAACAGTTGGAAGGCAAGCATTAAGAAGAAGTGTTCGAGCAGTCTCTATAATGTGACGATGCTTGCGTTCAGCCAAGCCATTTTGTTCAGGGGTATAGGGGCAGCTATATTGATGCAAAATACCATTGGATGTGAGAAATTTTTGAAATTGCAAGCTTGAATACTCACCGCCACCATCGGAACGAAAAATTTTAATTTTAGAGGAAAGTTGCTTCTCAACCATAGCATGAAACATTGCAAATTTGGAAAACGTTTCAGCTTTTGTAATCATTGGATAAACCCAAATGAAACGAGAGAATTCATCCAAAAATAAGACATAATAACGATAACCAGTTAATGATGAAATTGGGGAAGACTGTCCATTTCCAACTTGAATGTGATGGGAGCCATGATACGGTTGCGAGGTTAGGAGCTGATTAGCATCATTGGAGAAGTAAACCAACGGAGAAGAGAAAAAAAACCGTAAGGCCTAGAAAGGCTATGATACCATGAAAAGAGCTTTAAAGCTCACCTGCACAACAGTGAAGGTAAAACAGAGCAAAGACAAAGGTGAAGGGAATTCCGTGGTTTTTCATTCCTTCCTTTGAACAGTGCCATACATCCCTATATGTAGTTGTAAAATATATGTAAAGATAACAGAAAGCATAAAGGTAATAATAGAGAACGCTCTCTGCCAAAGCCGTCGGCAGATTTCTGCACAAGCAGCTGACACGGGATAGTGGAATATCACTTTATGTTCTGCTCAGCTATGGAACACGTTAACATGTAGGCACACAGAATCTGATTCCCTCATCCATGAAAGAATTGCAAGTCCCCATAACAGTGGCAGAGGTGTTTTAACGTTTTAGTCAATATGTCCCAAAAAAAAAATCTTTTTAGTCAATATACTGATTAAAGTCGTTAAATTATATTTAGTGTTATTTTTTATTAATATTTTTATAATATCTTAATATTCAATAAAGAATTCTGTTTATTGCATAAATACAGCAAAAAGTTGACAATGTAGATGTAAAAGATATTGCTAATTGTATTCACTATTAAATCCTCCAGCCAGTGGCCTTTCCCTTTCAACCTTTGGTTCTCTCTCTTTCTCTCTCTCTCTCTCTCTCAGAACCTTCTCAACCCCTAGACCTGATAAAACCGATCGTCTCCCCTCTCTTAAGCTTCAATCAAGTGGTAAGACAGAAGGTGAAAGAAAGAGAGAGAGAAAAAAAAATCAGAAGAGGAAGGAAGATAATTAGGATCGATCTGATCAGTTGAGAAGGAGACAGAGGTCGAAGATGACACCCAATTTGGCTGGGCAACAGTTTGGTGACACCACCTATACTAAAGTGTTCGTTGGTGGACTTGCTTGGGAGACTCACAAGGATACCATGAAGCAATACTTTGAGCAGTTTGGAGAGATCTTAGAGGCTGTGATCATCTCTGAAAAGACCACTGGTAGATCCAAAGGCTATGGATTTGTGAGCTCTCTCTCTCTCTCTCTCTCTCTCTCTCTCCTCTCTCTCTCTCTCTCTTCCTTCTTCAATCTATTCTCTACTTCTGAACTATCAGTTTGACCTTTTGCTGGAGAAATTAAGAAATGAAAAAAAATGGCTTTATATATGTAGATGGCATATGAAAATCCATAAATTGCTACTGCAAAATAGAACACAGATCTAAACCTTGATTGAACTTGTTCTTCATGTAGTGATTTGTTGTTATTTATTTGCATAACTTTTTGTTTTCTTACTTAATTATACTTATGTTTTTTTCTAACTATTGACATCTTTCTATCTATTTTGAATCTTTTCATATTTCTTAAGTTTGAGCCAATCATATAAACGTAAGTTCTTCAACATTATACATTTAAATCATTTTCTACTCCTATATATCTTTATTCATAATTTGTTGATTCAAAATATTGAAATAAATCACTTTGATATTATATTACATGATTATTATATATATTCAGTAAATTGTTGTGAGAGATTACCACATCTCAGGTTACCTTTAGCGAGCCCGAGGCAGCTACAAGAGCTTGTGCTGATCCTTCGCCTGTGATCGATGGAAGGAGGACTAATTGCAATATTGCTTCTCTAGGGATCAAAAGATCCTGGCCAACAACCCCTCAACATGGTAACTACACTGTAACATACATAGAGTAATGCAGTACTCACAGTACATCAAAATAATTCACAATGCACATAAAATCATAAATAAATGACAACAAATACATTATTTAAGGCTTTGTCATTAACTTCAATCTTTTTTTATGATTTTTAATTCAATGCATCAAAATGTTTTTTAGGATTATAAATTGAACTGTGAATAACATCAAATCTTATCCTTGGAGAAAAAGTCAAGTCAAAGTAGCGTAGCAGTTATCTAGAAAACAGTTCTTGTTATACAAAGGACATTCGCATCTCTAGGCAAGAAGCCTACAAGGACTTCATTATGTTGGGAATGAAGCATCGCCGTTCATTGCACATCAAATGTAGCAACATAATGTGATGAACGGCGATCCATCATTCCTCACGGAAATGAATTTCTTTCATTAAGTTTTGTTCGTACAGTTTGATGTCCTTTCTGCTGGGCCTGTGCTTCACCAGTTCTTTTATTTGTTTAGTACGGCTGCGCTGAGAGACCATCACAGACCTCTTTTTATTTTTTGGAAAAAACTTTAACGCAAAAAGAAGAAAATCTGATATAAACATTAATTTGTTTATTAGTTTGTTAGACCTAAATATATGATCCCATTTTGTTTATACTCATTATTAAAAAAATAGGATATTGGCCATCAGCTTTGATAACAAAATATTTTTAAGAAAATCTAGTAATTTAATTAATCTTAAGAAAACTATTTCTCATAATTATAATTTTATGGCTTTTTGTTTACAGTTGGAGCCAACAGCTTTAAGCTTATGAAATCTTTCCAAGGGGACATGCAAGGTGGGATGACAAACGCTTTCCCTCCTCTTGTGGCCTTCCCTCATTATGCCATCCATCATGCTGTTCCCTATCATGTATACAGGTACTTAAGTTTTAAGCCCCCCCCCCTCTCTCTCTCTCTCTCTCTCTGGATGTTCAGCTCTCTCTCTCTCTCTCTTTCTACTTAAGTTTTAAGCCCTCTCTCTCTCTCTCTCTCTGCACATAGACTGTATACACATGTATGTGCGTTCATGAAGATAGGTTACGATGGTATATATATATATTTTATGCATGCATGATTATATGATACAACGTGGATGATGCGTAGTCTTTTCCATTTTTGGGACATTTAAGCTAGTTTAGGTAAATTAACACACATTATATATGCAACTCGAACTCAAGATCTATTAATTGGTAGTCAAAATGGGAGAAATTATTCTGTGTGGAGGCTGGATGCAGTTCTATGTCTGGAGACGAATCAGGTGCAGCCACGTCAGTGGTACCGAGCGGCGGTACACAGCGAATGAGTGACGTGACGCATTTTGATTAATCTGCGGACGACATTCATCGTTGACGTCCAGATAGAATAATTAATCCCAAAATGAGCTTCTTCTCCAGTTTTAAAATGGCTCTTTTCTTTTGCTTTCTGTAAAAAAGCTGTCATGCATGTGCTTGCCTAACCGAGGCATGAGGCATATCTTAGAGGATAGGATAACATGCACCTTTATCCTCTTACCTTTTTTTTTTCTAAATATAGAGTGATGATCACACAAAATATAATTTTATTACTTGTCAGTTATATGCTTCCGAACTTAAGATAGAGAGATTAATTAAGCTCTACAACCACTCAATCACTATCCTATCGTCTCTACCCTCTTCCCCTAATCTATTTCTAGTATTTTATGTGTTATATTTTTTCTTTTTTTCTGATCTTCTATATTGTTTACACTCAGCATTAAGGTTTCTTTTTTTTTTTAATAAATTTTTCCAGCTACTCTCCATACGCTCCGGACTATCCTTACCCTACGGTGAGTACATTTCTTACTGTATCTTGTTTGCATATCTGTATTGGCATGCATGCAGTACAAATGATAGATTGATTCATATATAGAAAGGAGACATTTCTGGTTTATTTTTCATGCTGTTGCATTTGTAACCTTCCATGAAGCTTCAAGCATGGAATCAATCATATAGCACTGATGTATTTCATTATCAGCTTTGCATATTGTACGAAGAAGCACATGTGCCGCATTTATTTAGCAACTTTAGCTGGGACTCTATATATGGAGGATAAATATATTAAGAGAAAAGACAAGAGTTTCCAGTACGAAGCAAAAAAACACCAAATTAATAACCTCCCAAAAAGCATCTTTTGATGGAGGTGTAAGAAGTATCGAAGTGGTGAGTGGACTCCACCATCCTTTGTTTTTCATTATAAGCCACTGGAATCCTCAAAATCTTACTCATATCAGTCTTATATATGGGATAATGGAGTATCTTAATTAGCCGAAGGTGTATTATATATATTTAATTTCATTTCATTTTATATGCTAACTATCAAGATGATTATTAGCAATTATTTCTTACATACAACAACGACAATATTAAACATTTGTCTCACTATGTGGGATCAGCTACATAATTTTTTTTTTATTATGTCATGTTAAGAGTCAGATTCTCATTTTAATCTAACAAAGAGAGATCATTTCTAATATTTTCCAACTAAATTTTTTTTAGGTTACTTCTACCTTTCTTAACATAAGCCAAAATCTAATATGTCTACTCTCCTAACTAGATCGATCATCGGAAGGTCGTCATTTTATGTGACCAAACCATCTAATGTGACTCTCTCTAATCTCATCTTCCATTGGCGCTACTCCAATCTTTTCACATATATGTTCATTTTGTATCATGTCTCTAAAAATTAAGCCACTCATCGACCTAAGCATCCTCATCTATGCAATACTTAATATTATTCTTAGTACATTATGATAAGAAGAAATTGTCTAACATAATAATAAAGCTATGTTGTAGTTGAAAAGTACGTTACATGCATGTTCTGAACTAGTTCTCAAAGAGGATAGATACCTTCAGCGAATTTCTGGGAATAAATTTCCATAAGGACTTCTTTGTAGAATTTTGTACCGGTGCTTTACACCTTTAGAATATGCTGGAAATGTTGTGCATAACTTATATGATGATTTAATATATGTATATATCATGAGGTTATGTAAAAAATCAATGCAAAATGAGAGATACTAAGCACTTACTCATACAAAATTCTATGAGTAACTTATATAAAATTTATTCAACTGTTTAATAATAATTCTTTTGTCGAATTATTCATCTACAACACATGGTGAAATGATACATGCACTACAACAAAGTCAAGTTTTTTTGGCGAAAAATTCGTAGCAAAACAAACTAAATCCATCACAAATTTTGGTTTGAGGCTAATTTCCGACGAAATAAATACCGACGATAAATATGGCGTCGCAAAAGTATTTGCAACGGAATGAATCTCATCGCAAATATTTTGCACCTGATTTATGGCGAATTTACGATGGAATTGATTTCGAGAAAAAGACAACTTCGTTTTAGCTACTCGACCACAATTTATGAAAGAAATGTCGCCATAAATTGTGGCGAAAATACCACCACAAATCTATCGCAATTTGCGACAAACTGTTTCGTCACAAAATAAGATAAACGATCATCATTTTTATGTTTGCGGTGAAATTTTCGTCATAAATTCATAAAAAACCTGTAGCATTAATAAAAAAATAGAAGCTACAATCAGTTATTAAGCTTTTTAATAATAACAATCAAGGCAGTTTAAAAATAATAATTAATAATGTTAATATTTCAACAAACAATTCTAAAATAAACATAAAAATACACTTTTATATAACCACAAACCAACTGCTCAAATAAATAATTATATTTCAATTGTTTTACAATTATTACAACACTGTTAACGTAAGCCTAGTTCTTATACATAAAAAAAGATAAAATGCATCAAGAACCCCTACACATACAATCTAAATGGAATCTGCATCCTCACTATTTTGCTTGACCGATGTAGGCGCAAGGTGATTTCCACCTATTTGCTCTCTTAAACTCTAAAGCTCGTCCAATATTAAATAATGATGACCGCTTGTGATTTTTAGATAATTTCTAGCTCTGATGTCAAGTTAGTCACATGTTGTCTATATAAACTCTTCTGCCTATTTGTATAGTAGTTAGAGGAAAAAGAAGACTTTTCCTCATACACGTAGGCTTGTAAGCCTAATCCATAAACTTGTTTCTTCTGCATTCCTCCTACCACTTGCGACCAAGTATAGTAGTCAGAAATATATGTGGAACCTTTAGGGGATCCCTCCCTAACTACAGTTTGGCTCTCTCAAAGTCGTGTATACTCATTTTATAAAATATAACATAAGATTAATCATCGTATAATAGTCACTTAAAATATTTATCTAAATATTTTAAACTTATATACTTATATATGCCTTCGTCGGTCGTTCGTCCACCCACTGCTAGTCCTTATAGCACTTGTGAGTGTAACTATGCAACTAAATTGCAGTGGATTCTTTATCAAATAGTGTTACGAATCTATTTTTCAAAAAATATAATTTTGATGATAGCAAATATTTCTACTTCTCTATGACTGTCTTGCATACTAACATTTCAGGTCCACAAGATCAAACTGCAATTTGAACTAGCTCAAGATTGGGTGGACTAGGTCTGAGTCAGTTTATAAATTTTTTTCTTTCTTGAATCTAATGTAAACGATGTGATTCCTGATGCTAAGTAACCTTGCACACACATACATAAGGGAAAATTTCTGACTGTTTTTAGAGTTTTCTATTTTTAGTCACATCATCCATGATGATCCACAATCGGCCTAGATGATCAGTTAAAAATAGAAATCCTAATTAGTGCATCTTGGTTAAGGCAGCCATCATTAAGCTCATCGTCCTAGACAATATTTATATCGGTCAGGACCATAGACTCAAATTAGAAAGAATCAGCTAGCAAATCTATTTAGGTATTATTTTTTTTAGACATCGTCCTGGACGATGCAACATAATTATGTTTAAATTATTCTGGTAATTAAAACAAATAATTAAGATTTGATTGCTCGATCATATCGTCTTAGACGATCTCAGGATCGATTGGGACGATCAATTCACAAATCTTAGTTGTCTTTGGATGACCAAACATCAGCCAACTACTATTCAGGATGATACTCTGAATAATTTTCATAGATTTGAACTAATCATCCGAGACAATCGTGAGATCGTCCTGGACGATCAAGCTATTTTTTAATTCATCGTCCAAACATCCATTCAATGTGATTGTCTGGATGATATTTAACGACTTGTACTAATCGTATAGGATGATATCCTATCGGCCTGGACTAAATAAATAAAAATCTTCTGATCATCCCAAATCATCCTGACTGATTGAGTTTAATTTGTACTGATCGCACAGGACTTTATATTATCCTAGAAGATAAAGTCGGTTTGTTGTAATTAAGAGGTATTCTTAAGCTCTTTTATATAAGACCTCTTATTTTATCCAAGAGATTATATTTTTCTATTGTCTTGACTTGAGAGAGCTTTGAGCAGAGGGAGAGAAAGGGAGAGAGAGAGAGGATCTTGTGAGTGGGAGTTTGTGAGGGGTTTCACAAAGGTTGCTCCAAGCAAGAATCCAAGTCGTCTTCTCCGATCATCATCCCTTATTCTTGGAGGTTCGAGAGAGGTCCACTTTAGCAATCGATCAACGTTCTCTACCTGCTTTAGGAGGAACCAAAAAGAGTTGGGTTCTCTATCTCACCGGTGTTGGTGGAAAGGAGGTTTTATACATGCTTCTCTACCTTGCTGTGGAGCAAAAGGAGAGTTACTAAGTTTAGTGCAAACTCGGAGGGCGTCTATGGGGAGTGGACATAGGTCGAGTTGATCGAACCACTATAAATTTCTGTGTTCTTTACTACTACGTTTTTCATATTTAATTTTCGCACGTTAAATTTCTTTGTGGTGAATTTTGATTTGGTTGAGCTTTTATTTTTGAGTGAATTTTTTTTAAAAATATAAATTCACCCCCCCTCTTGATTAGCTTGGGCTAGTTCATAAGGACTTAACTTCCCTAACGAACTTTCAAACAGATCCTCCTATAACATACTTACATTAGCATACATATCTAAAAATATATTTTGAATTTAATTTAGGTGTTAAGTACGGGTTACTTATTAAGCTTCTAATGTCGGAGGTCTAGGTAGCTCCCTTCGTCGTAACAATTTTAGCATGTTTTAATAATTCCTTTGGTTATTGATGCTAATCTAAGTATATTACAGAAAAGATGCTTGCTAGAGAGTCCACTATAGTTGAGTTGTACAATCACACTCATAAGCGTCAGGAGGGACATCAATGGATGGATGAGTGAGCGACAAGGGCATATATAAGTATATAAGATTACAATACTTAAAGAAATATTTTATATGATTATTATACAATGGTTAATCTTATGTTATATTTTATAGGATGAGTGTACACGACTTCGAGAGAGCCAAGCAACACTTGGAGAGGGGTATAATGTTGGAGATCCTTCAAGGTTCAACAAATATTTCTAACTATCTCATTTGGTCACAAGTGACACTACAGGAAAAACGTCGAAATCCGGCGGTTTTTTCCGGCGGTTACTCTATATTAACCGGCGGTTTTTTGCCTTACCGGCGGCTTGACAGGGTTTTTTGACCGCCGGAAAAAATCGCGTAGGAAACTTGACGGCGGTTTAACCGCCGGCTATACCGCCGGTAACACCGGCGGTCCATAAACCGCCGGTTGGAACCGCCGGTAATAGCCATTTTTCCCGCTAGTGTGATAGGCGGAATGTAGAATGGATGAGTTTATTGATTAGGCTCACATGCTTACATGTATAAGGAACAGTTCTCTTCTGCCTCCAACTACTATAAAAATAGCTAAGAGAGTTTGTATAGCCAACATATGGCTAACTTGACAAAAGA